CAAGAGGATGAGACTGGCACCTCCCTGAGGAATTCACAATGTTGTGGCTGGCTGACTTGGGGGATGGGGGTTCAGTCTGGGAAGATTCTTGCTACAGGTTGTAGGTAATAAACATAGCTGGACTGAATTTGCATTGTCTCTTGGAGTTCCTTGGGCTAGGCCTGACAGAAATCATGTTCAATTCTTGGTGAGTCGGTGGACATCTCTGCATTCTAGCTACTCTAGAACCTTTCCCTGGGCCTACATAATTTTCTACAGAAAGTGAAAGTGGGGGATGTTAGACCATCGAGATAATAATTCTTCTCTCCACCCTCAGGATCTACATAGAAATCAGAATACAAAACATCCTACTCACTGGTGTGATAGCTCCACAAACTCCCACAGGCTCATGCCTGGTGAAACAGACATAGTTTTCATCTGCAAAAGATTTGAGAACATGATAGGTTATCAACCAAGGATGATTTTGATATGAATCATCCTATGGGATGGAGACAAATGGGATGGCTGGAAAACTTTTTCTGAGGGCTCAGCAGAAACAAACATTAGCGTTTGGCAACGATAAGTGAATTTAGCGTATGTTCTCACATGGTAACAAGAGATGGCAAAACCTTTTTTAAAAAATAAAGGAAACTCCAAACAGAAGTTGAATATCAAGACTTAAGAATCACGCAGCTTGAATATTTGCCTCTGACTTTCCACAAATACTTTTCCTGGCAAACTCTTTAGTCATACAGGAGCAGTGGAAGATAAAACAATTTGTTTTAAAGTGTTAAAATGTCTGTGTTAGTCAATAATAGGCGATTTAAGTGATTGATTTTTTCTCTCTTATTTAAAGAACAATGATGAAAGAAATGAATTATCACCTATGCCTAGCAAATAAGTATTAGGTATATTTCTTTTCCTCATCAAACAATGAGGAATAAAATAAATTGTTTCAATAAAAACAATTCACCTCCAACTGAATCAAGACATGGCCTGATGTTAGATATTCGTGAATGTGTATGCATGACATCTGTCTAATGCATACTGGAATTATATAACAAAAAGTGTCAATTATATTCTTAAGACAACATCCACGGAAACAGATGGATGTTTTATCTTTTCTTTGCTGAATTATTACAGTTTGAATTGCTCGTCACATCATGCTTACTTCTGTTTCCAAAATCTTGATATCAAGGAAACATGACTGAAAACCTCATCACTTTCGAACTTCAGCCCAACTATGTGGAATGTAAATCCCCCCTTTAAACTTCAATGTAATTAACCTGGTTGCTCTGATTTTGGAAAAATGCTAAATAAAACTCATCTCAGGTTGCACTGTTAGCAAAGGCCACCAAGCTGGGTAGCTTTGAAAAAGGGATGAAATTCAGGGAGAATAAGGCTATTAATAGCTATTTGTTGTAATACTGGCATTAAGGTTGCACTATGGTTCTGGTCTGAGGGCAAAATGGGTATGCAGCTCCTCAAATCAAACACACCTTTTTCAGAATAGCACTGCGGCTGCAGATGGTAGCTGTGCGATTGCGGGAAAAGATACAGCTGCTTTAAAGAGTTATTGGCAGGCACTGGGCGAAGCAGCTTGTATACTCAGAAGCACCCTGCAGAATACTTGACTATGTGGTCCTGAGGTCTGATCCAGCTACATTTATTACATTCCGAAAAGGCAGTTGCCTTCACTCAGAAGATACTCTAGAGAGGCTCTGGGTTGGCTTCCCATTGAAAATCACTCCCTCTTGCTGCTTTCCGTTCTCCTAAATGCTGCTTCCTTTTTCATTCATTAATTTATTATTTAGATTTATACCTTGCCTTCATTTGCACAACCCAGTAATGTTCCTGCCTCCTATTTTCCCCACAAAAATAACTCTGTGACGTGGGTTGGGCTGAGAGCAAGGGACAGGCCCAAAGTCACCCACCCAAGTGGTTTCATGCTTAAGAGCGGATTAGTCACCATCATGGCCTCCCTGGTTCTAGTCCAGCCCTTTAATCATTACACTAAACGGGCTCTCAGCTTTCAACTTACATCCTTATTTTAGGGCAAATAGCAGCTACTGTAAGCACGGGATAGTTCTCAGCCGAAAACCACTTCTGGCCATGGGAAAGGGGATGATCACCATCAGGAATATGTTTGGATTGGGGTTCTTTTAGTTCTCCAGAAGGAAAGGAGCCAGGTTAAGCATGAATATTACTGTACTTTGACTCTATGCCAAGAAAGTTTACAAAGAGTCATCATCTGGTTTTCAACAAAAAATGTTTAACTCCTCTTTTGCAGGGTTTCTAAGAACTAGGCTGTGAGGCAAGAACTGGAGGAGGAGAGGGTGTATACAAGCCCAGATTTATTCCTGACAGCCAAACCATAATTAACCATAGCACCTGAATTAGGCCTTTAGGACTTCTCTCCAGTCTGTAGATTCAGGTTAAATGTATTCGGCAGACATAAGATAAGAAACTCAGTAGAGGAGATATCAGTTCCAGCTTACCCACAGGAATATTCTTCCCCTGGATTTTATCTGCCCATCCAGCATAGTATCTCAGGGTTTTTATGCAACCTTCAAGGTCAACAAAAAAAGCTTGGAGAAATGGTTTTCCTGTGTCCAAAGTTTCCAGTGTCTGAAAACGAAAACAAACAAGAACATTGCATTTGATTCTTACACATAGAGTTGATCCCTACTGGGATCCTATTTTCTCAACCAAATCTTCAGGGGAAACAGTGCATGGCAAGAATCAATTGGTCAACCAAGCAGATTGGAGAACCCGATCTGCAAACGCTTTCCTGTACTCCCAACATCTTCCTGGAGTGACAGTCAATCCCAACTGAATTGGTTTTGCTCAGCAGGCCTGAATGGGAGGCCTTGGAGACTACAGTCACTCAAGGGGCTGCAGACTCCCCATGCACGTTTTCTGTTACCAATAAAAGAATATCTGTAGCTCACGGTTGAACTGTGGAGTCCTTGGTGCTCTCTGAGCCTGGTTGTTTGATTGCAGACATTTCATTTCCTAACTAGGTAACATCATCAGTGTGAGTGAGTGTGGGGTTTGCTCCCTATTTATATACAGTAGCTTGCCCTGCCAGTGTTGGTGAGGATGTGGTTTTCTCCTTGGTAGTTCCTTGATTAGGGCATTGTTTTCTGTTTGATTGTTTGTCTGGTGTTAATCCCTGCTTATCCGGGTGTTGGCTGCTGGAGAGGATGTGTTTTGGTCTTTTTCTTTCCTTCTTAGCTTTTTGTTGTCTCTTTTGAATGGTGTGTAAATGTGGTTTATCTCTATGTGTCTATTGAAGGCTGATCATTAGACATTCCCTTGGATTTTAACTTCCCATCCAGTATAGTATCTCAGGGTTTTTATGCAACTTTCAAGATCAAAAAAGAAAGCTTGGAGAAATGGTTTCCTTGTGTTCATGGTTTCCAGTGCCTGAAGTTTCCAGTGTCTGTCTATTGATCAGCCATCAACAGACACACAGAAATAAACCATAGCTACACACCATTCAAAAGAGACAACAAAAAGCTAAGAAGGAAACAAACAAAAAGACCAGAACACATCCCTTTAGCAGCCAACACCCAGATAAGCAGGGATTAACACCAGACAAACAATCAAGCAGAAAACGATACCCTAATCAGGGAACGACCAAGGAGAAAACCACACCCCCAACAACACTGGCAGGGCAAGCTACTGTATATAAACAGGGAGCAAACCCCACACTCACTCACACTGATGATGTTACCTAGTTGGGTAATGAAACTTCTCCAAACAACCAAGCTCAGAGAGCACCAAGGATTCCACATTTTCTGTTATATGTTGGTTTCCTGCATATTGTTCTTCAGCGCTGAAGATGAAATTTATTGTAATAACAAGGGCCTTCTGTTGATTTTACTTGGCCTCCTTTTTGATGGCAAGAACGGTAAAGCCAGATTCTACTCCTACCTTTGTCCATTCACTGTCCCTCATCAATACTAAATTTTGTTCTCTGGCCTATACGAAGGAAGCAAAGAAGTTTAAACTTCCAGCCTCCTTTTAATTTCTTTCTCCTTCTAAACAGCACCACCGACTGATAGGTCAGCCGCAGAGCAAGAAGATCAGGGTTTCTAGCTAAATAGGATACCCCAACAGTTTTTGGTTCACCCTTCATGCCCGCTTATGCGCCAGGTTCACTTACTGCCAACACCTCCCTGTCTCGCTGAATCAGATCTGCCAGTTTATTCAGGAGCTGTCCACGACTTGCAGCATCCATTTGTCTCCACAGAGATCCATTTTGGAAGGCTGCTTTTGCTGCCTCCACAGCTTTGTCAATATCAGGCTACATCAAAGATAAGAAAGAAGAGGGGGGGGGGAAAACAAGTCATTAATACCACTGAGAACGGAAATATAAATGGGCACAATTTTTCCTTGAGTGAGAAAGCCTGAACATGTAGATGAAAGGCCAAGTGTGGTCAATAGTAGACAATCGCAAGAATTATCGTATTTCTATTCCTTCTTTTGGAACAGAGTACTGTTTCTGGCCTCAATGGGCTTACAACAGAATAACATTAAAAAGCTGCAAATAAACACTTTTTAAAAAGAAATTCCAGATACATTATCCTGGGCAATTAGAAGAATTTCCAAAACTGTTAAAAGAATGAAAGAATGGGGTTGAGTTGAGCTGAGGCCTAGCAAATATGTTTGTGGCACCAAACAAGCCAATGGACTACAAGAGACTTAAGCAAATTAAGTCTTCCAAAAACCACCAGCACATTTGTGAGTGATGCAGTTAGAAGGCGTGGTTGCTCAAACACTGTGGGAGTCCACCAAGAGAGCGGCAAAATCAAAAGTCAAGACATGCTCTAATGTTGGCAAAGCAAGGAAAATGTCATTCATCACTATTTACAGTACATCTGTGGGGCTGCATCCATCAAAATCTCTCTCCTCAGTTCATCCACAGAAACACTGGCTGAAGAAGACTATACAGTATTTGTCATGAAACTCTGAAATTCAGAGATGTTTTTGCACACCTCTAGTCTCAAAGTGGATGAAAAGTTCGGAGTAGATCTGATCTTCTTCTCTATATGGGAGTGCTAACCAGTCAGCAGTTACACTTCCTGACCAGGTTTAATTGACTTCAACCTACCTCCCAGGAAAGCAGCAGTGCATTCAGTGCATTCCTTCTCTATTCATTTTTAATGTGGGTCTGGTTCAAACATCACACTTAAGCCGTAATGCTACTTTTGTCTTAGAGCTTTCTGCAAATCAACCCATTAGGGCTCAGTGTTACATCTCACCTCGGCTGCTACACCTTGTTCAAACTATGGTTTCAAAATCCTTAGGATCTGGCAACTATGCACATTTTGCACTAGACATCATTGTTAGACTGAACTCCAACCCTCTAGATTCAACCCATAAGCCCACTGATTACTATGATGTGATACTATTTTGCCTATTTGGCTAAAGACTTTCTCAATCTGATGGCCTCCAGATAAAACCAAGCACCCTTCGAGTCTAGCCATGCTATGGTATATGACCACATTAGGGTAGGCAAATGCATTCAGTCTATGCGACTCTCTGAAAACTATCTTAATACCTCTTCCATGTGATCTGAGATATGCACAATCATTATTTACGCAAGTGGAAATACTTGGCTGAAGCTTTTCCAATGGAAAGGTCAGTTGAGGCCCACGTAAACTCTCTCAGTTACAAGAATATTGAGAACAAGGAAATTCTATGGGCAAGGCTGAAATTCCAATCTGAATCCACCCCATGCTTAATCAGTGTTACATTACAGAGATTTTGTAATACAAATGCATAAAGTGCAGCTAAAATTTAAGATCAGGAAGAAAGAAGAAATAAATCCATTACAATTGTTACGTATCACAAGTCAAAGATTCATGTATACTTTTAAGAGAGGGAGAATTTTTTTCTTAAAAAGCCTTTTAGAAGATGTTTTCAGATAAATCCATGATCCAATCTGGACAGTCCAGAATATCCACCTCATTTGTAACGCCAGTGCATCAGCCCCAATTTAACTGCCCATCTATGTAGAGGCAACCTTTCTGAACATGATGTAGTCATATAAAATCCCACCATAGTTACTCCAGATTTTGATCCAGGAATAGTGTGATTTTAGCCAAAGTATACAGTTTCTTGATATGTGGATTGCATCTTGATATTCTCTCTTTGCATGATAAACACTAAGTGTCTCATATGAGTGTGGGGTGGATTGGACCATTGAAGCATCATATCTGCAAACCATCAAACCTAGCTAATTATAGACTTGGACCAAGGTAAAATATTCAGGCAGACAAGAGGTCCACTTGGAGTAGCCCACCTTACTATATCATGGGGACGAGATGAGACAGTGCTCCACATTTCCTACCTGAGTTTCTGTTTCCCTCCCTCTCTATATATTCTATATAGTGAAAGAGTTATTACAAAACCTGGAGCCATCCACTGCTTTGTTCTATTTGGGTTTTTCACATTATATGAACCTGGGCGTTATGACTTAACATGTTGAGTGAACCTAGCTAACTGTGTCTTATTCAATAAAACATGGGTTACCACAATGTGTGGAATCTAGTTAAGAAAATACATACAAAAATCTCAAGCTAGAACCAGTCAAGAGACGGGAGTGCTAAGTCCTGTTTTAGCTTTCTCTGTTATGGTCTTTCATGTCAATCATGACTCCCAGTAACATTTCAGAAGTGGTTGACCATTACCACCTTCCAGGATGTTTTCTGATTTCCCAGTCTAGGGCTAAGAGAGAACTGCTCTAAAATTACCCAGCTGGCTTCCGTGTCTAATGGAGACTCAGGGTTCCCTGCTCTTAGTCCAGCAGCTTTAACCACTACACCAAACTGGCTCTCTCTACCTATAGCTTTCTCAATTCTTGCCCATTATACAATAAAAGAATATGGGACATCACATGACTCTTGCCCTTCTATACCAAGTTATGGCTGAATCACATACTGCTCCAATGAAATTCGGCTAAAGACTTGCTTATGAATCAAGATCAACAAACACTAGGATCTTTTTCTCACTTTTGTACTGACTGATGCTACAAATGATACCCCAACCCTCCCTTCTGATGTTATTTTTGCCATGGTTGTGTGTTCCAGTCTAATGGCACTGCACCTCTTACGGGTAGGAACACTTTAAAGTTATAGAACCAGTTTTGTAACATTTTTCCCCACTGCTGAGTCAAGGAGAGAGATCTGTGAGCAGGAAACTCACCTCCTCCATTTCCTTTCCTTTGATGACGAGAGAAGTTGGTCAACCTCTGAACCTATTTTAAATCTTGTATAACATTTTTATTTAAAGACCTGTACAGCCCCACATACAATTAACATCTTTTATGAAAGGAAGCTGAAATAATATGTACTGGCTTTGTACTTTTTGCAATAGCAGTCCTGAATGTGTCTGCTATAAACAGAAACATCTGATCTTTGTAATCCACTTATTCTTCCCTTAATTATAACACTCTGCTTTGGTGCATGATAACTCTGGATTCTGCTGGTAAACATTACAGATCCTGTATTGTGTTTATTCAAGGAGGACCACAGAACTGCTTCCTCCAACCCAATGCAGTTCCAGACTAGAATTTACACAATCCACATTTGGTTATGGCTGGTGGGCTTGGTGGCAGATGTAATCCAAAAGAAAGGTTGCGTACAAAAGCAAGAAGAGTGTACGTACATCTATGTGTGTGAAAATTACTGACACAGTGGATTGGCAAAAACAAAAGAACTCCATTGTAGGTTCTACTTCGCAAATCCAAGAATGATCCTCTAAGAGTTCTAATGGGGACACACCTGGCAGGAAGAACTGAACAGTCTCCAAGAACTCATCTTACTGGTCACTATATTTAAAACCCGTTTGGCTGGAAAGGGAGAAAAGCAATTATGCTGGAGACACACAGCTCTTACACACCCAACCCCCCAGGTCCCATGATTTGCAGCCAAAGACAAAGAGAGATCATCTGGTTATACTCTGATGACTGCTTGTGAAACAATGGAGCCTGCTTGCACAATTAACCATAGTAGAGAAAGCCACCCCAGAGTTCCACAATATTAACATGAGTTTATGTCTCTTCAGCTACAGGATTATGGATAATTCCGTGGCAAGCCCTGGGCTCAAATGCACAGAGTTAAGGTGACTGAAGATAAAGGAGAGGGAACCGCACTGCTTCAGACTGGGGTGGGGGAAGAGAAATAAAAGACAGATAGCACGCTTTTTAAAACACAAACACACTGTGGCTGGATAATATGTTGCATTAAGCCATAATGTGATTGGTTTGATTTGGGTCAGCGAATGGCCTAACCCAGCCATTGGGGTTTATATCAAATATATTTAGGAAGTTGTGCAAACCAAGCTATTGTAGTTTAGTCAAACTACAGATTACGATAGATAATTACTTAGCATGATGCGTGAACTGACTCTTTAAGGAAAAATACCTTTTAGGACAAAGAACTTTATGCCAGATTCTTTTTTGCTGTGCTAGCTTCTTATTTACTTTTTTTTTTCCCTTTTGAAAACATGTTTTGATACTGAAACTCCTCCAGGGAGACCTTGGGCCATTTCATTTGGGCTTGGAAACTAAGCCAGGTCGGGCTTTGGTAAAATGTGTTTGGGAGACTTCCAGAAAATCCCTGGTTTGTTACTTAGATTAGGAAATTCAATAAATATCATGGAAGAAGGCAACAGTGACTTGAAATTGCTCATTGTTTCAGGAAGAGGATAAGAAGAATTTGAATTTACACATTTCAAGTGAGAGAAGAACAGAAACGGAGGGTACCTCTCTTGCTAAAGATTACTGATTAAAGGACACATAGGAGTTTTCTCTCAGAAGGTACCAAGCAGATCACTCCCAGTGAGACACTTTCAGCACTACTCAACCCATTTTTTTTTAATTGCAAACCATAAGACAATTGTAATGCCAGTCAGTCATGTGATCCAGATGGCTGAAAGGGAGTCATCTATCTTCTATAACAATGTCCAGGAGAGGTTCTGCAAAAGTGTGACCTCACCTGGCAGTTTGTCTCCATGGCCATATCAGTTTTCTCTCTATTGCAGCCAGATGGGTTAGGGGGTAGGAAAGGGCTGCCCCACCCCAGATATGCTGCGTGCATTTGTCAGCACACACTCTCCACCCCATTTTTTCAATACATATTGTATGCACTTGTCTGGCCATTATGCAAACAATTTGCACTTTTATGAGGAGAGACCTGCCTGTTTGTCAAGTTGTCATTCCTTCTGCATATCCATTGCTATTGAAAAAATTGGCATGACACCATAGGCTAGCAAATTGCCATCACAGTACAGAACAGAACCCCCATGTACCCAAAGGTGCCTCAAGACAAACTGATATTATAATGCACAGTATAGAATTACTGTGTACAATTCTGGTTGTTCCATCTCAAGAAGGATATTGTGGACCTGGAGAATCTGCTGGGAAGGAGAACCAAGGAGATCAGGGGGTTCAAATACCTTCCTTATGAGGATAGAGTGCACTGATTGGGCTGCTTAGAAAAGACTCCTACAATATCATATGACTCAGTTTTATAATATTATGCATGGTAAAGAAAGACTGAAGAGGGAGAAGTTTGTCTCCATCTTCCATAGCTCTAGAACTAGAAGCCATCCTGAAACCAACTAGTAGAATATTTAATAGGAGGACATATTTCTTCATACAGTGTATTATCAATCTGTGGACCATGCTGACACAAGATGTGCTACTGGCTACTAGTTCAGATGACTTCAAAAGGGAACTAGACCAATTTCTCAAGGACAGGTCTATAAATAGCTACTAGCCTGCATGAGTAGCTATTGTACCTCCAGGCATGGGGACAATCTGCCTCTACTTACCTGGTACACAGGAGCAAAAAGGCAGGCTGCCTTGATCTCCTGTTTGTGGGTTTCTTGGATGCATCTGGTGGACCACCATGTGAGGTAGAATGGCGCTAGATGGGCCTAGACCTGACCCAACATTCTCATGTTCTCATGCCATGTAGAAATAGTCCTTGTTTCTCCTGCTATCCTCTTCCTTGCTCTTTCACTTGACTTGATGTTCAGGTCATTGGAGAAACATACCTGAAAGCACTTTCTCTCCATCCTAAGAAAGGGGACTTCACCCTTTCAACTGAACAGCAGCAGAGCAGGCAGAAAGCAATGTGTCCTTTCCAACTGATTAGAGCAACTAAATGAAGGTCATTTCACTCTATTTTTTTCACCCAATCATCCCCAACTATTAGAACTTTTGCTCTTTGATTAAGACAAACAAATGGTTGTACAATAAAAGAACTTAGCAAGACAGACCTTGTCACCTTCTTCGATTTCGCAGATTTTCTCAGCTGTTGAGGGGTTAAATGTAGGGAATTTCTTTCCACTTTTTGACTCATGCCATTCATTATTAATAAATATCTAAGGAGAGAGAAAACAAATGAATGAGAAGAAGCACGGACAAGACTATTTTATCCCTGATTTGATTTGTCTCCTTTGTTGCATGAATTGCATTAATATTTCTCATATTCAGGAGCACTGTATCATATTCACCCTGCCAGAATATGGCCCAGGCTTGCTGTAATAGTGAGATGTAGGCAAGTACTTCTCAGTGGACATCCTATAACATGGAGGAACTTAGAAGCAGGGTGGATCAAAATAGTTAAACTTCCAGCCATCAGCTGCACGTCACAGTGGGAAGCAATATGGATGTGGCAAATGCTCAGAATTATTTATTGACGCAGTTCCAACAGAAAAGGTAAATCACCCTGAGGTCCGAGAGACCAATTCACAAATACAATTCCATATCCATGGGAGAAGGCCTACCAAATTCTGGGGAATTAATCTATTCTTTCATCGCTGCAGATGAATCCCACTGCCTATTTAATGTAATACAGATTTGCCCCTTTCCATTAGTGATTGCTCTTTACAATAAAAAGGACAAATACAAAAATCACAGAAGCTAAACAAGACAAGGACAATACAGACATTACAAGAGAACAAGGAAGGGGTCTAAAAAGGAAGAAGTAGCATTCCTTAGTAAAACCTTAGTTAAAATAAAACAATTTTGTGATCCACCTAAAAGCCATCACCAAGGAACTAATTGGCTCTCCCTAGAGACAGAGATTCGCAAGCAGAGTGGCCACATTAAATGGCCCATCCTGAATTCCACCCAAGTCCTTTCTCTTCAAGTGGAACACACAACAGAATCTCACATGAATGTAGGATTCCTGTGGTAGGCTGCAGCCTTTCAGATCTTAATTTGGGGCTTACTGCAATAAATATGAAGCAAACAAGTCAGAAGTCAGCAGAGTTGTCTTCATTCTGGAATCCTGCAGTCTATATAACATGCTCCACGTAATCTGGCTAACATATTTTGTACTTCTGAATATCCTTCAAGGAAAGCAGTATAAATGAAATGTTATGGTAAACTAGAGGACATTATTTATAGAAGGCATCATGGATGGCTTTGCAGAAAGATAGGGTAGATCTCAATTCACTGAGACCACTGCATGAGAAGCATGGATTCTCTCTCTCTTCCTGTCCCTGTGGCACCTTTTGCATCAATTAGCATACAGAAAAGGATTAGCATTTCCAGAGTGTCTACTTCCCCAATACTAATTGCCACATGGAGGTTGGAGCAACGTTCACCAAGATTCTACTGCAGTTGGAAGGATAAGTCTACATATCTACATCTTGCAATCTTGATTAAAATTAGACATGTTCCTGCTTAATATTATATTAAAAAGTGGGTGTCTGTGCCAACTAGACAGTTAAACCAGTATCTTGTTTAGCCTTTATATGGCCTGGGCATGTATGTATTGCCAGTAATACGTACACTATTACAGAAATTGATCATACTTGGTGTTGTTCTGTTTCTGCTTCAAGTTTTTCTACAATTGCAACCACAAGATATCAGTCAACTACCAAAGCTTTGGAATTTGACAGTTTATCAGGAATTATGGATGTATCAAGCATGAGGGGTAACTAAAACAATCATATTGAGAAATTGGAAATGTGATATTATTCCAGATGTCAAGGAATGGTTGTTGGAAATGTGTGATCTACCTATTCTGGAAAAGGCAATATTTTCTCCTAATCAAAGGATGCAGCAATATGTATTATGGCAAAGATTTTGTGATATTTTACAATAATATTTTGTACTGATCATATTATAGTAGGGTATTCCTTATTAAACCAGTGATTATTGATAAGTATAAAATATAAGGTAGATTTCTTTTTCTTTTTTCCCCTTTTTCTTCTTCCTTTTCTTTCTTAGTTTGTATTTTTAGTTTGTTTGGGGTCGCCTCTTCTAATTTTTTAGTTTTTTTTTAGTTTAAACATGTTTTAAATTATATATGCATAAACTAAATTAATTTTTAAAATGGAAAAAGGATATCGGTTGACTGCATTAAAAATGCTGCTGAATTGTTTATTTTCTTTTTACTACTTCTTTATTATGGCTACCGACCAACACAACTGAGCAGATGCCAAATACTACAGTTTGCACAGTCAAAAAGGAGGAAAAACATAAAGTCACTAAAACATGATATAAGCCAATTAGCATTTTAACTTAGAGCATGCTATAATAGTTATACTTTCCCACTAAGATGATCAGAGAAATGAATCAACTCTTAATTGCAAATGAATTCTACCATTTCCGAAAATTTAACTACATTAATGGACATAACATTCATCAGGTGCCCAGGAAAAATAAGTAATAAAGGGAATTATCAGTGGATTCCAGGAATCACAATACAGTGGTATGGCCCAGTGATTCAGTTGTTCCAGCTTCAGGAGTCATTTTATTCGCATAAGGAATATTCCTCAGTCTGCACTCTAGTGTTTATTACCATCCAATTCCAAGGAAGCAATCATGACCCCTGAACCTTGTCCAAGTTCAGTAATGGGCTGGATGAAAGACAAGCTGACATTAACTCCAGACAAGACAGAGGTGCTGTTGGTGAATAGGGAACTGGCTTTGTAGATTGAGATTCAACCTGTTTTGGATGGGACAACATTTCCCCCAAAAGACCAGGTTCATAGTCCAAGAGAGCTCCTTGACCTTCAACAGTCATGGAGTTGCAGGTGGCAGCTAGAGGAAGGAGGATTGCACAATTATGTCCCAAGCAGTATCTATGCCCATTTCTGAACTGGTTGGATTTGACTATGGTTGATCACGCCTTGGTTATAACTCATTTTGACCATCTTGATCATTCCAAGATGATCTTTGGGTAGCTCCTCTCAAAACACTTCTAGAAACTGCCACTGGTGCAAAGTGCAGAGATGATTGGCTGCCTAAAAGGTCTGTCCTAGATGCCACTTGCTTACCAGGCATAGTGTAAGGGGTTAATATTGGCTTAGGCTTGACTATTTAAGAAGCTGCCTCTCCTATTATGAATCTGTGCCCTTAAGATCAACAGAAGTCTTCTGAAGATGCCTCTGTCACCAGAGGCTCATCTGTCTGGCACACATGGGAGAGTTTCTCCTGCATAGAGCCCAGGCTATAGAACATTCTTGTTCAGTTGTACTTGACCCCCCTTCTTTCATCTTTCAGGAAATCTGTAACAATGCACCTCTTGTACCAAACCTTTATTAGATTATTTTAATATTAATTTTAGTTAATTTGAATATTAATTTTATCCCCAATTCTAATTTGTATTTTTAACTTCTTATCTTCTGTTTTTTACATTTTCTTATATGCCTTGACTGTTTGCTAGAACAGAAAGATGGGGTGTCCTTGAAATAAATAAATAAATAAATGTTAAGACAATAGGAAGTAGAGGAAAACAATCCGACTTCCAAAGAAAAAAATATATAATTCAAAGGGCACCAAAGAATAATTCCTTTAAAGTCACAAAAAATCTAATTTGTCCTTCATACAGCTGAATTTCAGCCTTTGGAGAGAATTGTATTGCACCAAGAATTTTTGTGACTCTCTCCTTAATCTTCCACCTCCAAGGGCATTTGTAGCAGCAGAGAAATCAGTTCCAATCACTCCGGATATGCCATAACATTATGCTTTTGCACTGTGTTTTAATTCAGTCTACAGCAAAGCTGAAGATGCCACTCTCAAAATGAAGGATTGGATGGATACTCCAAGAAAACCAAGGAGAAAAGTAGGAGAAATGACCATTTCAACAGTTTCACACAAGCCAGATTTGCTGGGGGTGTATTTCTCAACAAGGGTGGCTAGCTCTAAATTCTTTCTCCTGTTAGGGTATGACATATGTTCCCCAGGAAAAGGCTGCCTCAGTCATGGTCCCTAACTTCAGCTGCTAAACGTGCATCTGCTCAATAACCTTTTGTTGCAGGTAAAAACAATTGATGCTCCCAGGCTTTGAATATTATTTCTCTTAGTTGCAATTGAGCCTGCTAATGAGCCTTATTTTTGTGGCCCAGGAGTAGATTTAATTACTATTATTATTGCATTTGATTTGTATGTTCTGTAGTTTAAATGGCTGTTTTGGTTGGAATTTTAAAGGGTCTGTAAATCACCATGGGGAAAGCATTTGTTTTAAAGGGTAGCCTTATAATTTAAACAAAACCTCCATAAACATATCAGGAGAGTTACAGGTTGCAGAATACTGTTTTGCCCATCACAAGGGACAGGCATCAACTGGATTTTCCAGAGGCATCACGCATCATCCTAAACCAGGGATTTTTAACGTGTTAGTTTGGTGGAATGCAATAACCTTGGCCACATGTAACACTAGGCTAGGATTGTTGGGAATTAGAGGCCAGAAGTTTTTGGAAGGGCACTAATCCTTCGCGTTCCACTATAAACCATGGTTTACATTGTGCCATATTATCACTCAACCCTATGGGTGAACTAGCTAATGAGATAAACTGCTTCATCATATTAGCAGATTATATAAAATAAATAATACAAAGCAATTTATCTCAATTGCCTTCAGCTCATTTATAAAGGCGAAACAATACAAGTTTGTCTGTTTGGTGGTTTAAAGATGCCTGCCCAACTATTAGGAAAAATGAGAAAGTGTTTTTGGTTGTTCAGCTGTGATCATCATGAAAGAGGAGAACATTATCTATTATCACCTGCAATGAAACAGGGAGATCCTTGTGGGATTTTCTCCATCAGTTGCTGAAATTGCTTATCTGGATGAAAATATTACTATCTGCACCATGACTTTGGGAAAGAGGGCATTGTTCATATTTCTGCATTCAGAGGCCAACCTGTTCACAAAAAGAGAATGGGAAACTCCACTCAAGATCAACAGTTTTAATGAGGATTTATGGTGGAAATTACACAAATACACATGAAATCAGCAATCCAGAAAGGCCATCCCTATTTTTTTTTTTAAAAACTGTTTTCTACAGTTGTCAACAAAAGATTGCCTTTTAAAGAGGGATAGGCTATAGCATTTCATTGATCCAACTGCAGACCTCAGCACCATTTG